TGACGTGTACACACTTCAACTCATCTCCATCACTTTGTGAAAACATCCGGTTCTTGTTGTATCAAAACAGTTCCTTCCTTTAAAGTTCGCTCTCTCACTCACGCACACATGCATGAGCCGTGCATCTCCTGGATTATATTCGAAGTGGACTAATAACCCCCTCCCCCCGGGTATTCGTCCGTGTGCGCCGTGGACAACCGATTGAAGAACTTGTCCAATCAGATCGTTTTCCTGAAAACAGATTTTGTTCGGGACCTTTTATTGTGTCCGAAAACATCCATGTTCCCGGGTTTTTTTTACACAATCCGGTTTTGGGCCCATAAAATACCGCGTTCACAGAACTGCCTATGTGACATAACCGTCTCTTTAGATGTACTTGTTTGTATATGGTCGCGGCAAAGTTTTTCGCTATACCACGTGAGGTCGGGGGGGGGGGCTGAAACCCATTATCTCGAGCATCTTTTGTTTGTACTCAAGATGAACTGCTTTTAGAATTCCACAAGATGGTGCCTGGTCGAGGATAGTTGTTTACTGCAGATTGCAGTTGCGACATCAATAGTTTGGCATACATGTAACAGAAATCGCATTTGAAACATGTCATCGCAATTCCCGGCAACACATAAGGTAATGACTGGAGCAGTCTTTAGTTTTTCTTTGATGCACTGCAATTCGCCCTGAGTGGTCTTGTTAATTTTCGATCGTTGAAGCAAACCGCACTGTTTTGCACACTATTCACAAATGTGAGTGGTGCCCCACAACACTGACTCGGACTAGGAAATTCTACAAGGCTCTAAAGGGCAGATTGTGGTAATGAGCCGGAGTATAGTATATCTGTCTACCACCCCCCAAGTTGGGTTACGATGGCCCCAACAAAGTACGTCATTGACTGGAATTTGAACCGCTTAACGAACTCCAATTAATGTTCGTAAAAACCGTAAACTCAGTTGTGAACATGGACAAACGGGCTTAGTCGACTAAAGGTCAGAAAATCTGCGTCTATTGCATACCGTGTGGATCTATAAAAAGTACCGACCAATGCAGCTTCCTTTCTTCCTAACCCTCAACCCCCATGTTTCTCGGTTGAAATTGTTTTTTTTCCCCCCCCCCCCCTCTTCCCGAATAAACTGTTCTGTCTCCAGGCCTCGTACAGTGACTGTGGTTTGTTAGGCCAACACGTTTGATCCGCGATGCCCGGGGGCAAGAACGAGAGTTCTCACTATCGGAATTGGTCCTCGATCAAGCAACCATCCGGTGATATGCACAATATCTCCCGTCACTGTCCGATATATATATTCATCTCACCGGTGTGAGCATATACCAGATATCAGAATGCAGGGAGATTGTGGACTATCAAGTCGATCAGACTGGTCGCATGTTGATGCGATGAGTGAAGGTGCCTCCGCGGCCGTGGTTGCTGTTATGCACTTTCAAAAGTGGGGATGGCTTTAGACGAGTGATTGTTCCCACAAGTTTCTTTTCGGAAGCATAGCGCGCGGGGTAGGTATGTTCTAATCACATTCATATTAGTGAAGATACGACTTGTTTTTGTAATGCTACACGAGAGAGAAACCAGAGTCCGTATCCCAACCCACCGCCACATCAGAGTTGTCCGAGAGATTGATCGAAGTGAAGGCGGTCCTCGAAAATGCCTCTCACGATCGTCATCAGTGTGTTTGTTGGTCGTTAATCTACTCAAGGCTCAAGCTGGGTCTTTCCCGGAGAGAGTGAACTATGATCTATGTATGCCAACTGAGGTCGATGTTCAGAAAGATATTTACACGGGAAAAACAAACCATCACTGATACCATTAAGTTGAAGACAACATTTGCTTGGGGAAGATAGGGGATGATGGCCTGCCTCGCCCTTCAAAGTTGGGTCTCAAACCCTCGACTGAGCAGACTGCAACTGAAATGTTCATCATCTCAGATCCGATGAGAAGGTTGAATTTGCTAACTCGTTCACATGCTTCAGTGTGTGTTGGTATGAATATGTAAAACTTGAAACTGCCACTCACTCCCAGTGAGTTGTTTCTCCCGTTACTTGGAGCCTTTCCTCGAAGTCTCCTCCCGTTTGAAGCTGAGGAGATTGCTAAGGCACTTATCCTCCGGTTCTGGGGAAGCTTTTGCTCATGTCGTCTCGGTTCCGCTAGCCGGACTCTGCAACCTTTTCCTTC